CATCGTACACTTATTAAAGCTATTGTTTGTACAAAATTAACTTGTCTCGCAAGTGTTGTTTTGATTACATTACGGCTTTAAGCCCGAATCCCTTTCACGGAGTTAAGTTAAAATATTCCTCAAGTTACACTCTAAATGCTCACATTGTCTCAACTTCATTATTCTGGTACCTTCGGCCTACCAACATAATTTGTAGCGAAGCAAAGACGTAACGAAACGAATTAAATTAGGTTTTGTCTAATTAATATTATTACTTACATCACATGACAGAAGTGATAGGGTACTGAGATAAAATTAAATCCTACAATTTTACACGGATTCTTTTATATTATCATTTAACTGTTCAATTTGCGATTAAGGTTAAAATAAAATAGTAAAAAGTTACTAACCGAATAAGTTGAACCTCTGACCAACGAAGCGCAGGAATAGCACAAAATATTTTTTTCTACAAATTTGACAATTGTGCAGGTGACACAAAGCTCGAATGGACACGAACTAAGTTATATATTAGCGCATCACAGTCAACGATAACTATGAAATTCACCACTACCCACAAGTACAAGTCACAATTTCTATCATAGATAGTTATTGTCATTGTAAGGAAGGTGTTTTAAATATTATCTTTGCATGGCAACTTTAACTTCGACCATGCGAAAAATAAATGCTTAACATTTATTTTTCGATTTACAAAGAAACATAAAAATCATAAAGAAAAGCATACATATATATTATATTTATACAATTTCAAATATGTAAAAACATATTTTCGTGGAACAAAATAAATAAAGTTAATTTCTTTTCGAAGTGCGTGCGTTACTAATTTTACACTCGACTTTAATTGAGTTAACAGATCACCGAGTTTGTCACATGTCGCAGTTCAGTTATAAGTAAACGGTTTTTTCGCAATTCTAATGATATTGTTATTGGCTTATCCAATTCAGTCATTTTAGTGGCCATGATATGGTTTAAAAACGCTTTCAATTCAATAACACGACTTTATTGCCTATAACTACTTTTTCGTTTAATAAATAGAAAGATATTTATATATAAAAAACAGCTCAGTTCCTATTAATCTCAATGTTTCTCTCACAGTAGGTAGTATTAATGTAATTTATATACCTATTGTTCCGTACCTGAATAATTATACGGATGTACACGTACATATGACGTAACGGTATTTCAATAGACAACACTAATAAGTATTTAAAAAATAAGACTTTTGAATGATAACCGTTTAAGGTTTTTTATTTCTTTTTTTATAAACCTATATTTATTTAAACATTATCATTGGCTTACAGATTAAAACTTAAACTATGTATAAACGAAATAACTGCGATTATATTATAAGAATGTGATAATGCAAAAACTAATTATAAAAACACTATAAATACTTCAAAATTACTTGGTTTTAAGTATAACGATATTGTTTTTGCAAGTAACTATAAAACTGACCAATGATTAAGAGTAACAAAATATTAATTGGGTTTCAAAATATATCTTTACTACACTAACCTTTATATAGGTAGACACGTAAAAGAATCTTTATATAAATATCAATCATGAGCAGCTTGCATAACGAGAAACAAACATGTCTGTCTGACATAAGTTACTGAATGTGCCGCCCCGGTTGCTTCCATTCCATATTCATGGTGGAAGTGGAGGTAATGGGCGGTCCTATATGCAGTGGTGGCCACGTCGTAGCCAGTCACTGGTGGATCACCCCAATCGATCACATCGTTATATTCCACGATGTAATTACGTGAAATTATAGTATTAGTCTAGTCTAGTCTAGTCTATTACGCGACATTTTTTTACTGCTACTTACCTACGACCACGAATCCCTTTTTTTCGAAGTTCCATTTATTGACCCTCTTCAAATTATTAGTTAGAATTGTACAATACACCATCGACGGGTTTGACTAACAAAACAACGGCATAGAATATTGACAAAAAGCCTTTGTTATAACGCTTGCTCAGGGTGGATTGACATAGTAAACTTACAAGTCTAGGTTTTCTCATAATGTTTAGTTGTTTTTTGTTAGAAGTAGTCTTAATTGGAAAGTATAGAAGTTGAAAGCTACACCAACATCTAATTCATCTCGTCGTATAGTATCTTGAGCAGACGGGATTGCTTATAAATCCCATGATCTTAATGTACATATTAGTTACGTACACGCCGGGTCCAATCAATAGATTTGTGGAGATCTGGGCACTGTATCTGCCGTATGTATCTACCTATCTACCATAAAGTCAGTATTTCTCAGTATTATGCGGATTTGTGGATTAACTGGTCCAAAAGCCACTTTTCTTCATGGTCTCCTAATCAGAGTATTAATCTTTCAAATGCTAAAATGAACTAAACAAAAATGCTAATTTTTTTTATAATCTCAAATTATATTATTATGGCCATTATTTATGGCCCAACAAGAATGTATGTAAACCATTGAAATGCTATGTAAAGCTTAATTGCAAGCTTACTTTTTATAACTAGCCTGACAATTTTGGCGGACTTTATATTAGTTCGCATAATGAGCTGTGTTAGTGAACAGGTAATTTGTCGATTCGACTTTCGACTAAATGGCTCAACCGCTAAAATTCTTAATCTCTCCGCCGGAATTAGAATAATGCATAAAACGGAACATTATTTCCAGCTTTTAATTACGTACCTAAGTTCTTATGGCTATAAATGCTTGATGGAAAATGTAAATTAAAATTATTTTCGTTCGTGGTGTCTTCATTAATGTTTCACGATCTTCTTAGCATTCAGAATCAACCTCAATTATTCCGGCTTTGTTTCAATTGGTTATATTGGAAGATAGTTATAAACAAGGATGTGTATTTATTACATTTTGTAAAACTACGGATGGGTATGCCTAATTTTCCAATTTTCCATATATAAACCTGTAATATCAATTCTTAGTTGGGTAGCAAGTATTGTATACAGGGCTGTGGTGTGGTGGATGCCGAGTTGGTCTGGCTAAGGTCGAAATTGCTTTCACCTACCCTCCCTACTACCTAGGTACAAACCTAGGAAGCGTCAAAGTTCCTCTTTAACTCGTCGAGCACCGTATTTATAGACACAATTAAAGAACAATAGGTTGCGGTCACCGGTGACCGCTTGGTGTATGACAGTTTAATTCGCAAGAAGATTTTGTGTTTCCCCCAAATCTAAAATTACTTACATAAAGGACCGTTTTCGATTTATAAAACTTATAAAAGACTAATTTCGATCGCAGTATTATTTAGGCGTTGTATCTGAATGTAATATCTGGATGTGCTAACTTATATCTTATAATAAATAGCCATTGAATAGAACACAGTATAACAGCGACTATTATTTATTGCGAACCCTTTTAAGCGATTGCTTTATTACACAGCATAAAGTTCCGTAGCACAAATTAACAAACTGCCCGCAAGTTAAACCATTTAAAGCCAACATACCACAAAGGGACAAAGGGAACGACGTGCCAGGGTTAGGAAGGTCATTTCTAATACTAATAGGTATCTCCATTTCAGAATTCGCTATTATGTTAAATATTGCTGTAGAAAAAAGTCATACTTTGCGAATGCTGGCAGCAGATTTTTTGCTTGAAATTGATATCAGGTAGCAACATTCTCTGAACTTCGGTTATTTAATTATGACCCCTAAAACCGCCTCCCTAGGATAGAGAATAAGACACATCCAGGAAAAGATCTACGTTTAACAGAGGTTACAGAACTAACAGAGGATGTCTTCCAGCAGACTAAAAGGCAAGTACTGTTTGTGGAGATGAAGCGAAGTTATTAAAAATGTGTACCTAATCATATTATTGTACCTATTTCGATTTTAAAAGCTACATCTGAATGTAACTTTTCTCTATAGGTATCCCTATCTCGGTCTTTGATTAAACTAATGGATTCTATCCAAGATTTTATAGAAATAAAGCTATTACCAAATGACTCGGAGCAATGACAAAATTTTACTCGTAAATACATACATTACTTGACATTAAGTATGTAGTAGACTGGTCGCAACGTGGACTCAAATAATAAAATAACGCAAAAATTATTTGACTACTTACTCCTTTCCTCGATTTTTGTGTAACCGTTTTATTTTTGATTGCTTATTTAATAAAAAATCAAATACTCAAAACTAAATTGTAAAATTTAATTATAATGCTGCCTCAATGTACATAGGTAAATAAAATATGTAACAACTACCTATATAGCAATTACGTATGTTATCGCTAGATTTCCATTACAAAAACTAGGTATCGTTTGTTAGCCCCTAGGTTTGATTGACGCGCGATAAATATTCGATAACATATGTAGGTACCTTGACAATGCTTTTATAACATTTGATCACCTGCTAGATTTCCACACTCAAACATCTCATTTATCCAGTTACCTGTTCACGAGGCACAAAAATCTCTGTATCTTTATGACAATTAATGAACACAATGATTATAAATATAAAAGTTATTATTGCGTGAGCTTTACATTGTAATTAAGTCGCTTGGCGATTATTATTTTGTAACAAGAACATGAAATATCATTATTACACCTAAGCTAATTGTTTTCACGTGTTTCTTATATTTAACAAAGTTGTTTTCTACGGCGTAGCGCGTAAATTTAGTACTTCGTAAAATATTACGACTGTGCTATATTTACAAGTTGAACAGATTGTGTGCTGATGAGTAATAATAAACTATCGCAGAATGGCATAGCAAGAAGCGAGCAAATCCCTATCAGTGTGCAAGATATAGGTAACTTAAAATATCAACTTACATAGACTTACAAGTCATTCGTTCAATGTAATTTCCAGTAAAGTAAGTAATTTATCCTACAATCGTGTATATTAAACTTTTAAACAAAATACGATACTGGCTTATTAAATATTTTCCTCCTAAACCGAGGAAGTATTTTATAATCTTAAATCCAAGTTATGATAAAAGTATGTCAAACACCGGCCAAACAAATCGTGGACTTCCAAGTTTTAATTAAGTAACTCAAAATCTTACCTTCTTTAATACAGACGGTGACGGACAGACTGCAGCTCGGGATTAGAATTGTGTATCATAACAGTTACCAAAAATATTTCTGGTAGCGTCTAAGTTTATTAGATATAGAACTTTGATAATAAACGCGAGCTACTCGCGAAAGTTGGACTGGATTTTATATTAAAGAGTCGAAGATGGTATTTTGGTTTTATTTATTTTAAGTGATATTTAATTTATATAGAGTGCGGCATAGTGTCACGAGCTCGATCCGCGAGCGTGGTTCGGAGTGAGGTGAGAGCGCGAGACGCGGGCTCTCTACCCTCGCAGCGACGGTACACTGTTCGTTTCTTTCGGGAGTCGGTCTGTCGGTTGGTCCGTGCTCGCGACGAGCCAGCCACTAGTGACGCGCGCACTTCCGCCGCTTAAAAATATTACTTGCCATTTCACCCAACACCTTACTGACTTTACCTTCTGAAATTCTCTTTGTAGTAATATTGCTTAAACTTTTATTTTCAGGGCATTTTATGATCTGCAGAGCTTCATGAAATCTTGAGTAGGTATACTTTGAGTTAACTTCAGTTGTTCATTCTACATTACGATAGAGGGAAATCTTGTATGAACGTGTTAAGATATTTTTATATTGATTTAATAAATACGTTCCAAATTCAATTATTTTATTCATTTGTAGTTGATGCGATAATTCAACAACTGCATGAGATCCAAGACAAGAATACAAACACACACCACCACCGAATTGGTTCTAGAAAAACTTTAGGTAAGGTTTTCTACATACACATTTGTACATTTACAAATATTCAATTATTGAAAGAACCAAGTCTATATGTACCTAACGTACCTACAATTAGTGTAGTGTACCAGCAATATATCTATCATAAGTTAGCGAAACATTCCGGCATAGTCACATGCCTCGCAAACATCTTTGATGATGAAAATGGTTTGGTTTTGGAGTTTTTTCCTCGAATAATATATTATTTTTAAATATAGGTGTCGGTACAAACAAACTTATTAAGTAGATAATCGATTATTATATTTTTTTATAAAATTTTTCTTTCATTTCAATGGGAGTGTTGTCATTCACAGTTTCAAAAGACAAAGAGCAACAAAATATTATTAAACCAAATAAATAGTCAATCGCCATAACTTGAATACACGTGAATATTATCTCGTGTCCCATCCCTAAGAGTAAGATTCCGCCCCTCCCCTTGTCCCAAATGTTTCTTTAGCAGTTCTGTAATAACTCCCCAGTAGGTAGGTAAGACAACTTAGACATGTCAATTTCATAAGAAATGACCCGAACATTCCAGATAATACTTTATATACGTAACGACAAATTCCGTAATTAAGCAAATGCTATAAAATATTATTATGCTTAATCTATTTAGACATGATATATAACGAAACAGTTAAAACACTGTGAAATATCGCAAACATTTTGTGAAAAATGATATCAGCTATTTGAATCGCGTGTCGTGTGTAATATTCGGGTCTGTTTGAAAGCGAGCCCAAGTTGGAAGTCGGCTGGGTATGCTCCCTTCTGATGACGTCACAGCACACGCGTCCTACCGACGAACGACTGTATACACGCCTTGTGTATATGACAGGGCGCCCAAATATTTTGTGTATATTCCGAAATGAATTTGTCTCGCAACTCTTGACTTTAGGTTTACCCAAAAGTTTCAATGACTGCCGTAATGTTTCTGAAAACAATTTAGTTATCAGAGCGCATAATCGAAGCAAAATTTCGTCGAAATGTTATGAAACTAAGATGAATACAACACGATTTAGTAAAACGAGATCTCTTCATTATCATTTGAAGCGGCCTGTTGAGACGTAGACTTTCTGAGCAGCTTTTACGTTAGGGTGGCCACACCTGACGGATTTTCACAAGCCGCATGCAGCTCGGAGGAAGGAACTATTATGAGATTATTGTTTAAAAATTGCTGTGTTAGAGTGAGTCTCGTATTTGAGCTTTTTAGACACAGTCTCGATCTGCAGACAAAAGAAATGATGTAGGTACCTAATATGTTTAAACAATTCTATACCATGCAAAATTATGGATTCTCTAGTCTTTATAGGTAGCTATATGATAACGGCCTCGTACCAATCGACGAGCGGTATGTGTAGCCAAATAAAGTAAGATATTAAAGAGAAATAACTTTCATTTTAATGCTTTTAAACTCTGTTTATGGAATAAAATAGTCCCTGATAATGGGAAAAACTGTGAACAGTTTTTTTATGGCATAAGCCGGTAAACGAGCAGACGGATCACCTGATGGTACCTAAGCAATCGGCATCGCCCATGGACATCTGGAACACCAGAGGCGTTACAAGTGCGTTACCGGCCTTTTGGGGATTAGGAGTTTGAGGATCGTTGGGGTTTCAGGGATTGGGGAGATTGGGGACATCCAGTAACCTCACTTACACGACGAAACGAGTTTAGAGATAAGTAGGTGCAGTGTATGATTACAAACAAAACGCATAAGTAATCAAATAGACGTTAAATAATAATATCCTAAAAGGAAGTTTGTAGGTATCAAATAAAAATAAATGGACGACTTACGTTTTAGAAGCGAGTTAATTATGCCACAGCGTAAATCGCATCTGACTCCCAAAAAGCGCTTAATCTCAAATTCCGACGAAAACGTTCATAAATTTTCGTATACAACGTTGATTAATAAAAGGAAAAGGAAGTCACAACGATAAATATTACGTATTTTTCTTTGATTTAGGAGTCTTGTGATTCTTATTACTTGCTACTCCGGCAGAGGGCGCAAATACCTTGTAAGATAAAATTATATAATGACGGATTACAAGAGGAAAACAAGTAACAATAGTTATTATAAAATACATGTGTACATAATTAACATAACATAACATCACGCCATTTATCCCTGAAGGGGTTGGCAGAGGTGCAAATTATGCCACTGTACCTACAATGTGACATCCAGTTTTCACAAATTTTTGTTATGAGTCTCATGTAATAGGGGGTGAGCCTATTGTCATATATCGGGCCCAATTCCAGACTCCGTGCTACTACTGAGAATTTTTTTATAACCCAGTAATTCTTTTCCCGACGCGGGAATCGAAACCAAGTCCCCTTGCCGAAACGCACTCGCGACCACTGGGCTAACGAGGCAGTAGGCACGTGTGTACCTACCATTTAAATACCTAGTAGGTATGTGAATATTTATCGTGAATAGAATAAGTGATACGACAGAGAACTAAAGTTACCGATGTAGCCCAAAGGATTAACAAGCTGAAATGGCAGTGGGCCGGTCACATTTGTCGAAGAACCGATGACCGCTGGGGTAGACGTGTTCTGGAGTGGAGACCGCGTCTAGGCAAACGTAGTGTAGGGCGCCCTCCAGCTCTGCACCTAGCTGGGAGGGAGGGCGCCGGCTGACGATATACGTAAAGTGGTTGGTAGTGGTTGGATGCGTAGAGCTGAAGACCGAGCTCAGTGGCGTGCCATTGGAGAGGCTTATGTCCAGCAGAGGACGAAAACAGGCTGTTGATGATGTAAATATTTAAAAAGTAAAAATACGTTTGCTTCAAATGCTTATTTTTCTTGTATTGTGTGTGCGGTTCATATAGTAACATTTTTATCTAAGTAAGTACTTATGTGAATTAACTGAGCTTACTCGTGGGTTCAGTCGACGCAGTGACGGGTAGTACTGCCTACGTAACGTACCTATCTGCAATTTCGACTCGTTCACCTGCCAAAAATTCTTACGATCATTGTTTCGTTTTCGTATCTGCGTGCGACATGAATGAAATTTTGTGTTTTATAATCGTACCTAATACCACAAAGCAGGTAAATTGTAATATGAGCCCAGGTTTAAAAGTTCCCTCATAGGTAGAAAATGTTACTTAAAATTTCGCCCCGTATGGGTTCGCCTCTATATTAGGTTACAAGAGACAAATAGCGTACCTGACTGGCAAAGTTTGGTAAGTACTACATTTGAAGTGTACGAGCCGTAACATATAGATAACAAAAATATCGTTGTTCTGTCATTAACAGAAGTATAGTCAGGTGTTCGATGCAGTACCACCTGGCTATTGTGTCACTCTGCGTCGGACAATTAGGTAAATGTACGGTGTCCTCGAATTATTTATTGCTTTTGACAAATAACTAAACACTACACTCTACCAAATTGATACAACTGTGGTCCAATCCAATGAAGCACAAATATACCTATCACGATTTTACTTCGATTGGCTTCAGTGGTTAGTCTTTAAGCAGTGTCTTGGGTTCATTCACAATTCATCATCATCATCATAACATCACGCCTTTTATCCCGGAAGAGGTAGGCACGGGTGCACATTATTCCACTGTATAATGTAACACCCACTTTTCACTATTTATCTTATGAGTCCCGTGTAATAGGGGGTGAGCCTCAGCCTATGGCCATATACAGTTCAGTAGTAGCACAGTTCCAGACTGCGTGCTACTACTGAGAATTTTTTGAAAACCCAGTAATACTTTGCCTGACCCGGGAATCGAACCCGAGACCCCTTGTCCGGCAGTCGCACTTGCGACCACTCGGCCAACGAGGCAGTCACGTTGAATTTAAAACAAAATCTATATTTTTCAATTTTGTTGTTCTATTCATACAGTTATAATTTCGTATGTGCAGATTTGCACATCTTCTAGAGTCAAATGTAGCGCATTAATCAATTGGAGTGTAGTTCACATCGGTTATATAATTCATTCAGTATATTTTTGATTAAATTGTCGTGGTCACATGTGCACTTGCTTTACTCATCAATGCTCAGTGTACGCAAATTCTCCAAAACTTGGTGCTTTGTGATTGGCCCACACCTAACTGGAAAACAGTAGTAGGTATATCATATTATATATACGTCTCTATCTATACCTTCATCAAATAAAAAGTATAACGTTATATGTCATGCATACAAATACTATGAATAAGTTTCGTCGACTGATACATTACATTCTATAGTTATAGTGGTAACATTAATTTAATCCTCAAGGAACACCGTAGTTGGCTATATTAAGGGCAAACACTTGAGTAAGTATTTTGTACCCATTCAGGCGGATAATAATCGAATTAAGCGACCCCTAGTGGCCTCTGTGGAAACCACGCCAGTAGGCTCATAAGGGGTAACCAGTTGGGAATAAATTGCTATCAGGTTTTTTTACCCACTTCCTCCTAGCAATAGATTGCAGTCATTATTATATTAGACCCAAAAGTAGGACATAAAAATGTTGTATAATTAAATTTCAAAAACTAAAAAAATGCAATAAATCATTAACCTAGCTA